CCAAGGTTGTGTACCATTCCTTAGTAGAATCCCACTTGATATTTGTAATCCCATTCTGGGGGGTGGGTAATATGAATCTCATAGACTATGTTTTTGTACTACAAAACGTGCAGTTAAATACATGTGCAAAGCAAGAATTCGAGATTCCTGTAAACCTCTTGTTTGTTGAACATAAAATGTTAACAGTATTCGCAATTTTTGTTATGGAAACGGTATGTCTAATTGAAAAACATATTCACGAATTTGACACTACTTACACACGTCCCGCCACCCGTCCAGCTGGCAACATTAAACTCCCAATCCCATCACTCACACCAATTGAAGATTCAGTAGTTTATGGAGGCTGTAAAATGTTCAATCTCTAATCAAAACACATTGAAGAAATAAGTTCCATAGAATATTTCAGAAAGGGAGTAAAAGCTCTTCTGTTGGATAAACATGAAATAATTGTATAACGACGCATTCTAATTCAAGCTTGTTTTAATATGTTATGAGATGTTTCTTATATTGTTATTGGTATGAGACATTCTAGTACGATGTCGGTGTCGACTTATTGTTCCATTTCGTCTATTTTACTTTACCTCAATTTAAGATTGTTTCAGGCATCTACCTTGTCAACATAATTTTATATCTTTGAACAATAAAGCATATTCTTTCTCCCTCTCTCTTTCTCTCATGGACGCTGCTTGGCATGTAATAGAAAGGACGTTTCGTACAAAAAGCAGCACCATAGTGCTGCTTGAGATATAGCGGAATGTATTTACCGTCAATCGTGCTTAGCAAAAACAAAGGCTTGATCAAAAATCTTTATGATTACCTAACATTTATAAGTTAGAACATATATGAGTTAGATAGTAACTTGAAAAATGTTATTCACATATTTCTTCAATATATAATTTTCATAAGCACATAGGATATACCGGGTGTAAACCGATTCTGGCTCATGCCCCTATTACTTTTTTGTCTCCCATGGTATTAAAATATAATTGTGTAAAATCAAATGGTATCAAATTTTGGCTCCATTGGATTGAAAATATTTTTGTAGCATTTCCAGTTTTCCATACATTTTTCCCAATTTTGAAGTCTCGAATGGAACACTTTTTATGTTTATACCAATTGGGGTTCATCACTTCATTTTACATACGAATGTCCTATTTTTTTTCGATAAAAAAACTTCGTGGTATAATTTCATCGAGATAGAGCATCCATATGTACCTACAATGAACTGCTGAATCTAAAGAGGTATAAACATATAGTGTGTTCCATTTGAAATTCCAGAGTTGGGATAATTTTCTGCAAAATTGGAAATGATACACAGACTATTTTGAACCACCAAAATTCCACATCGATACTAGGAAGAACTAAGAAATTATAGAAGCGATCCTGAATTGGTTTACACCCGGTATATTATGAAAAACCGGCACCAATTGAATTATATTGAAGGTGGTTTTAGTCATACAGAGTGTTCATTGTCCTTTTTTCTTTCTAGTTCGACTTTTCTGTAACGTTTTTGATGTACATACCTGATAATACACAAAATGTGATGAATTGGAGATACTTATTAGATTATCCTTATTGGAACTTCTACCTG